CATATTATTTCTGAAAAAAAAAAAAACCCACAATATTGGTATGGAATGCAGAAAAGCACATTCAACAAAGGCGTAATGGAAAGAAGTAAGAAATGTTTGAAAAAGATCATGAAGGAGGCAGAGAAAGTCCCTATTTGCTTGCAAATACCAATTTGACCTGAAAGGAAGCCACAAAGCATGCCGCAGGTGAGTGAGGTAGTGGAGTCGAATGTCCGGGTGTGCAGGTGTCTTGTGTCCCTTCCCCAGGAGAGAAGGTGATGTATGGAAGCCACCAGCTTTACAGAAGCAGTGACCAGGATGAGATCTGCCCCAGCAGAAGAACTAGCAGGGCTGTTGTGGGCTTAATAGAGGCTCAGAGGGTCCCTTCAGCACCAACATTTTGCTGTTGTTTTAAGGACTTGAGGTAGGGGAAGACTGGCAAGAGAGAAATGAATCCAAAGAGGCAGGTGTGCGGTGCTGAGGTGGGAGACCAAAGTTCAGCTTGTGGGGTAGAGAGTGTCTGGAGTAGGAGTACAATGTCTAGACCCCCTGCCATTATCGGAGGGAAAGGAAATGAATGTGGCTTAATTATAATGACAGGATGACAGCAATGACATTATAAGGAAAGAATCAGAAAAGCACAAAGCCCATATTAGGAGAATGGGAACTGTCTCCTCACTGACAAATTCTCCCTGGAGAACTCCCCAAGACAGGGTCATGTCCCTAGTGTGAGACATCCCAGATAAAGAGACTCTTTCCTCCTGACAACCCCTCCTTCTTTGAGGGATCCCTCAGAGGCCTGGGCAAGGTTTGGCTCCCAGTGGCGGCTCTTTCTCTAGGCCGTGGTCAGTGGCTTACGGGTGATGGGAGCTGTCTCTGTCCTTCCCACTGCCCCTATCCCTTCGGACCTTGGATTCCCTGAAAATGCCACTCACAGCACTCATGTCCCTAGCACACAGCTGGGGGGTGTATTAGGCAGGCACTCAGTATGTGCTTGCTGAATGGGGGACATCGTCTCCCAGGTCTCACGCAGGGGGCTAGGGTGGCCTTGTGCTCCTCTCAGCACCACCAGCACATAGGAGATGTACAAAAAGACGTAAGGAGCCCATTCACCACACCTCATGGTGAGCCCCTGCATGAAACCAAAGACCCACATATGAGGAAGGCAGGGAGATCAGGGTGGAGGTGCCTTGCCCTGGCCCAGGTCAGATGCCAGAATTGAAATGAGACATCATAGATTGCCCACATCTACAACTAATCACAAAAATTCATTCTAGCCAATAGTTTTCACCTCTTCCTATTGCAACTTTTTTTTTTAAGATTTTTATTTATTTGAGAGGGGGCAGAGAGAGAGAGAGAGAGAGAGAGAATCTCAAGCACTGAGCTAAGAGCCCAGCACAGGGCTCAATCTCACAACCCTGAGATCAGGACATAAGCTGAAACCAAGACTCAGATGCTTAATTGACTGAGCCACCCAGGACCTCTGCAACTTTTTATCAGAACCAAGAAAGGTGTGTAAGCTTGAAAACAGTTTTTCTGCTTCCTGGCATTCTCTGGGGACCTGGCCAGATCATAATGAGATACTCAATGCCAGAGAGTAGAGATGAGAAGCAACAGAAGGCTTCTAGATCATCTATATTATGGTTAATACAATGCCATAGAATAGCCAAGAAATATTATTACCAACACATGTAAAACTCAAAGCAAAGAAGAAACTTCACAAAGTAACCACTATTTCAAAAGCCCATTGGCTTTTGTGTCTCTCTCTACTCTTTAAGGACTGCTCGGCCCAAGTGCCAGGGTGACTGGAAAGGGAGCAGCATGACCTCTTGTCCACAAAGGGGTCATTTGATGTTGACCACAGCAAATGCAGGCTATGGTCAACATCCCCCACCACCAGAGATCCCAGTTCTGGCATCGGCCCACCCCCGTGCGCCATGCAGTAAAGATGTAAGCACACACACGAGCACACACAAGGCAAAGCAAGATAAAAGAGAATCCCATAAATCCAATAAGACATCAGCAGTTGTCCTGAACAAAGGTTGTTCAGAATGCGAGTTTACAAGGATAATTGCCACCACATTACACAGAGTGCAATAACTTCGTTGTTAGCACAACAATTTGTCAGACATGTCACACAGAAAGTAGAACAGCTGTAACTGCAAGTGACAGATTGATGAAAAATGGCTGATTTCCAAAGCACCTGGTCCCCCGAGTCTGTATCGTAATCTTGTTCTTAAATTAAAACAACAACAAGCATACAAAACTTTCCACTGCAGAAGCTGTTGGCTTGTTAAGATTTACAGAGAGGATTTTCAAGGTGTCAGTGTGTCAGGGCCAGAGGCTGGCAGTCTGTGTCTCAGACCACTCGACCACAGGTGGGCTACATGGGAAAGGCCTGGCTTTTAACGGAGAGGGACCTGGATCCAGATCCTGTCTCTCCCACTTACCAGCCCCACGTTCTTGGGAAGGAATTTGCCTTTCCTGAGTCCATTTCCTTACAAGATGTAGATAATAATCTCTAAAGTACAGAGTTGTTATGAGCAGCAGAAATCACGTATGGAGCGTTCATCACAGCACCTGGCACATAACAAGTGTTCGGGAAATGGGGTTACAGTTGAGGAGACTTGCCTACACAAACATCACACTTGGTTGCATAATGGAGAGGTGACTGCCTGTGTATCATTACACTTTTTTAAAAAAGAAATGGAACTATCATAAAGCTCTGAGAAGATGGAAAGAGAAAAGAGGTGATAATAATTGAGGTTTTCTTTGGAGACTATACCCAGGAAATCATACTCTTCATAGATGAACGATTTTGGAAAAACAAACTGCTTATCTTTTTTTTTTTAAGATTTTATTTATCTATTTGAGAGGAAGAGGGAGAGGAGGTGAGAGCACGAGTGGGGGAAGGGCAGAGGGAGAAGGACAAGCAGATCCTGCTGAGCACATAGCCTAACGTAGGGCTTGATCCCACAACCCTGAAATTGTGACCTGAGCCTAAATCAAGGGTCAGATGTTCAATCGACTGAGCCACCCAAGCACCCTGCTTAGCTTTATCATATGCCACCAGAACCATTCTCTTTCTTCTTTTCTTCCAGGTTAAAAAGTTGCAACACAGTCTCCCTATATCTGCAAGCCTTTGGAGGTCCCGTGACATAGGGCCCATCTTTTAACTGCCCACTCTTAGCAAATTTCCTGTCATGGATATAAGGAGGTATTTCGATTGGCAGAAAGAATGTCTCATCTCCCCCTTTTAGAGGCAGAACTTGGGCCCAGAGCACGACACACCTGGTTGCTTACCTGGTACCCCAAGGCTCTCAAAAATGCTGCAAGCACCACCCAGAAAACTAGTGCTGTTAAGGCTAAAATAGTCCTAGAAGAGTGAAAGTCTTAAATCCTTTTACAAGACAGGAGAAAGCACCTCCAGTTCTAATTAAGCTAAAGCAATTAGCCACCCACAGATACTTAACGCTGCTTCCCATGGTCAGGCAATCATCTCTATTAAGACCCATTTTAAAGTAAGAAGCAAACCCAAAAGCTCCATGGGCGCACGCTTGCCACAAATCAATTACACCTAGACACATTGAGTAAATATTCAGAGGCAAGCTCTGCACCTTGCAAAGAGGACATGGGCTATGGAAGAACCACACCAGCCACAATGAGATAGTTGCAGAAAAGGAGGCAAGCAGCAAATGTGACCATTTGGGGTCACAAAGCCCATTTGCAGAGGGGGACGATGGATCCCTGGTGGGTCGGACCAAGCAAGACAAACTGACACCTCAGGTTTCCTGGTCTTAGAATTCCCTGGTCGCTATAACAATTGATGTGCCAGCTCCACTCTGAAGGAGCACATGGAGCATAACAGTCTCTGGCTGCTGTAACCAGAGCCCAGCTTCGTCCTGTGACCAGACTCCTGTCCACACTGACGCTTCATGGGAGAACTGTCCTCGCCCATATCACCATTTGTCATTGAAGTGCCAAGAGGGTACACTTGGCGGGTTCACCATGAGCCCAAGCCATTTGAATTCCTATGCTTTCCCCAGCCCAGTTAGGTCTACTTCTCCCTACAACTCCCTTCAGTGAAGAGAGTTCACTGTTCCCAGCCCAAGGCTGTCCCCAGTCCCAGCATTAGCAACAGCTACACGATGGTCAATGGGTAAGTGACAGATTTAGGCACCTTCCTCAAAAACTAAGGTTATTTTTGTTTTTCAGTCCAGTCAAGTTAATCCAATAACTCATTACTTCTCAACTGAACAAGATCCTTTTTATCCTGTGTGGGTTTGGCAAGGGGAGGGTTTGTATTGTTTTTTGGATTTGGTAAATTTCTTAATCATAAGGCAGATATCAAAAATGTATGAAAAATAGAAAATGCCTTAAAAATATTCCTAGGAGCCACATTAAGAAATTAAAAAGAAACATGAAATTCATTAAAATATTTCACTTCACCCACTATATAAAAATATTATCATTTCAACATATAATCAATATAAAAGATAATAAATGAGATATCTCACACACTTCTTTTTCTTATATTCTTTTTCTGGTACCATATGAGACTGCACAGATCTAGAGCTGTGTTCAAATTGACACAGAAAAACTTTCACAAGTCCCTGTTCTAAGAGCAAGCAGGTTTACCAAGTTGTATATGCAGCATCTTATTCCAACTTTATAAAAATCTGTATCTATGTGTCCAGATATGGATAGAAAGTAACCTATAAGGGAGAGGCCAAGGGTAATAAGTAGTTATTGTGAGTAGACAGACTTATGGTTGGTCTTGATTTTCTACTTTGTGCTCTTTTGTATTTTCTAAATTTCTTTGCAGTAAACACATAATGCTTTAATTATCAGGAAAATTATAAAGCTCATCTTTAAAAAAAAAAAGCCCTTCTTATTCTAAGTTATTATACCCCCTGATCCTGCTAGCATTGCAGCCATCACCCTACTCCCAGCCAAGGGAAGGGATGTCCAGTTAGCCTCTTGCCCATCACCCACACAGCCCCAGCAACTGCCATACTTACAGCCAATCATCATGATGGCCACCGCAAAGATTTTCTCGATGTCTGTGGATGGGGCAATGTTGCCAAAGCCCACGCTGGTAAGGCTGGTCATAGTGAAATACAACGAGGAGATATAGACGGAATTCTTGCTGGGACCACCTTCCCACTTTCCTGAGCCAGACCCGTTAAACTGGTAAGGGGTGCCAATGTCCATCGCCAGTTGGTAGAGCCAGCTGTTGTTGCGGATGGTCTTGGTGTCCTCATCAAAGATCTCGTAGTCCCCGATACTGTACCAAATGCAGGCCATCCAGTGAGCAGCTAGCCCAAACACACACACCAGCAGGACCAGCACAGCAGCTCCATATTCAATGTAGTGGTCCAGCTTACGGGCCACTCGCCCCAGACGAAGCAGCCGAACGACCTTCAGTGAGCTAAACAAGCTGCTGATGCCCTGGGAGAAAGAGGAGCAGAGCGTCAGGGCCAAGAACCAAAGATACTACTACTCCTTGCCTCCTCCCCACCTGAGCCGTTTCCTTCAATATGGGGCATTTCCACAAGATGCAATATTATGCAACCCTTTAAAAAATGTTTTAAAATAAATCATGATATGGAGAAGTGCTCATACATATTTGTATAGTTACAATATAATGAGAATTTTACTCCAAGGTATATGAAGGGAAGATTTCCGCTTGCTTTTTCCTACTTCCATTATAAAGTAGATGACAAAACAAAGAAAGCAAAATTAGAATTTTATTCCAATTGTGATGAGTATACAAATATATATGAGCATTTTTCATATCGTTACTATTTTAAAACAATTTTAAGGGTTATGTAATATTTCATATTAAGTAATATGAAATATTTTAAGAGTTGTATAATATTTATTTCATATCGTATAATATTCTATTCTGATTGTATTGTACATAAGTATACACGTATTTATGTGTTCAAAAAATGGCTAGGAAACACATGGAGAGAAATGTGAAATGCTGACAGTGGTTAGCAATGCATTATAGAGTTACAGAATTACAGCCAATTTTTTTTGTTATATTTGTATTTTTGTTACACTGAATATATTAACTTAATTTCTATAATTAAAAGTATTACTTTTATAGTTAGAAAATATATATATTTGTAAAAAAACACAGTTTTTAAAAAAAGGATAAAAATGAACTAAAGAGACAGCTGAGAAGAATAAAGAACTAAGATTCTGTTTTCTCAGGAAAGTTGCAAATTCTTTGAAGCTACATCACTCCCGTCAGGCCAGGGATTATACAATCAGACACCATATTTTTAAACACAATCAATCAAGGAACCTCAGGGCTAGAAGGAAGCTTTTGATTTCAGTGAGTCAAAGCCTCTTGCCATCCTGCAAACCCTGCCAGGGCAGATCTCTTCTCCAAATAGTGCTTCTCTAAGGGAATAGTGGTAGTAAAAAGAACATCAGAGTAGAAATCTGGATAACAAGGTTTGAGACCCAAGTAAACCACTAACTTGCTATGTGAATTTGGACAATTCGATTGTCTCATCCAGACAATGTGGGAAGTAGACTAGAGGAAATACTAACATCACAGAATCCACTGCATTCAAAGTCCTAAAATTCCTATTTCAAAGTGATTCCCAGGTGTAGGGAAGGGAGATTTCCACTTGCTTTTCCTACTTCCATTAAAAAGCAAATAAACAAGCAAACAAAATAGAGACATTTCTTTGTACCACAACTTCGGTCTCCCTCACACAGCAATAATCCCAACGGCAGGATGATGCCCTTCACCAACTAGAATGAATGACTTTACACTACTCTAAACACTGAACAGTTTCCAGGTCATTGCTAGTGTCTCTTGTCCCCTATTCCCTTAATAACAACGCCCGAGGGTCAGTTTATGTCACAGACAGAAGGAAATATATAAACACTTTCTGATGAGCCTGTGTCAAAGACTCACTAAAGATACTCAGATAAATTACATCTCCCAGACTCTTCCCATCTGGGTGGGTCCCTGAGACTGGTTCTCACCAATGGATGTAAGGTGAAAAGTGTGTCATTCCTAAGCCAAGTTAAAAGTAAATGTGCTCTCTCTTCCCCTTGGCATGCCTTCCAGATGAGGCTAGTGAGACCCTGAGGCCAAGTGTTAAAGATGGTGGACATACAGCACGGAAGAAGCCTGGGTCCCTGAAAGACAACGTGGAATACCCTCTCCCCTCCCATCAATTTGAATATTATGAGACGAATGAAAAATGAAACCTGAAATAAGCCACTGAAACTTTGGAGGATATCTGGTGACAGTAGCTATTATTAGCCTTCCCTGACATGTGAACACAATGACCATATGTAGCATAGCCTTGACAATAAAGACCACAGATCCAGCTGCCACACAAATTATTTCTGTTGAGATGAGGGTGGGGGAGGTGGGGTTTGTTGCACCTTTTGAAAAATAAAACAAATAAACAACAGTTCTGTAGCCATAAAACTTACAACAGAAATAATCACTTCTTGTCCAACATACACCAGCAAATCAATAATAGTGGATTCTTCTAGGCCAACAGACTATATTTCCAGGGTCAGCTCATCTAAACTGCTAACCCTGACAAAGTTTGTTTTTGGCATGTGCAGTACACCGCTCCTGGGTCCTCTTTTCCCTCCATATGCTTTGCTTAAAAACCTGCCATGCAGGAAAGGCTAAGAACCCTCCTCCCCTACCCCTGCCCATAATAAGGGGCAAAAGATTGATGAGGGTAAATGGATATCCTCTCTCCAGAGGGCATCTGCTTTTCAACAGAGAAATCAACCTCCAATAGTGGAATTAAAAATACCCACAGCCTGGATGAAGGAGATATTTTGGGAGGCAAAGGAGCCTTTTTGATGACTCAGAAATCAAACACATGTAAGCAGCCACCTACTCTCCACCTGCTCATAAGGAGGTTCCTGAGATCATCTTTCAAAGCAGTTCGACTCCGAAGCAGAACCTATTACCCAGGGCAAAACTGCCTTGTCATTTTTCCTCACTCCTTTTTAATTCAAAGCAACATTTGAGGAGAACCCACTATGTACTCTTTGTGCTAACGCCCCAGGGAAGAGATTAAAACGATGAGGTCTGTGCCTTCTTGTTCACTGTTGCGGCTTCAGTGCCTGGCCTGGGGAAGGGGCCTGATAGGAAGAAAGGAGAGAGCAAGCAAGAGCATGATAACCAGTGAAAGGGGCAAGATGTGATTAGTGAAGGATACTTCTACCTAATTGCCACAGAAGCAGATTGCTGAGAGCACAGATGTCATCTAGTCTAGCCGCTGAGTCTAGTGATGCCTTCCAGGGCTTCCTTAAGAACATTCATTCAGCTTCTCCTTCAACTCCCCCTTTAACCACTGCATCTCTAAGATTCCATTCTGGCAGTCACTCGTGGACATGAATGATTGGGCTCCCGTGACCTTTCCTACTTCCCTCTGCTCCACCTGCACTTCATCCCTCCTCCCTTCTCCATCCCCTCCCAGTGGCCACACAACACATGCAATCACTACCCAAAGGCCTGCTATCCTATAGCCATACACTCCAGACATCTTGCAACACCACCTGCATCTCTGTGCCTGCTCAGACAAGACCCTCAGCCCAGAATGCCCAACTTTCTCCCTTTCTACCAGCCGGTATACTGTTGTCCTTCAGGTCTGCTACCACCTCTGCCCTAAAGCCTTCCACGGCCCCTCTGGAGTCACAACCAATCACCCACCCCTCCATATGCCCATGGTATTCTGTACCCATTACTAACTGAACACATTGCTTTGCACTATAGTTTCCCCAACTATAGCAGGTGCTACATCTTCCTGAAGACAGAAGCCATTTGTTATCCATTTTAGAAGCCTCCTGTACTGGGTTGAACGGTGTCTCCTCCAAATTCACGTCTTTCCCAGAACCTCAGAAAATGACCTTAGTTGGAAATGGGGTTGTTGTGGGTATAGTTACTTAAGATGTGAGGTCACATTTAATCCAGTATGACTGATGTCCTTATAAAAAAGAGAAGAGCCAGGCACACAGAGAGAAACCAGATATTGGTTTCAGATATTGAAGGGATGTGTCTTCAAGCCAAGGAATGCCAAGAATTACCAGCAACAGTAGAAGCTAAGAGAAAGGCAGGGAACAGATTCTCTCCTACAGCCTTCAGAGAGAACATGGCCCTACTGACACTTTGACTTCAGATTTCTAACTTCCAGAACTGTGAGAGAAAAAAATTCTACTGTATTGAGCCACTCAGTTTGTGGTAATTTGTCACAGGCACCCTGGGAAACTAATATACCTACACAGAATCTAAAGCGAGCACCTCCTCAAAAAGAGTCTGAAACGTTTTCTTAACAGAATTGAGAGTTTGGATTATTAGAGGATTCTTTCTCGTTGTAAGAAGCCTCTGGAACAACATAAAATAGGCACTTCCTCACTGTGTTATTTATCTGTGTACACTGATACTCTATTACACGGTTTTGTCTAAGTTCTCGCCTATTGCACTAACAGCTGGAATTCTAGCTATTTAAAATCATTTCAAGCTATTAATTTGCATTTTTTTCTTATTTGCCTGAAGTTCAGTAGATGAGATAAATAAACAGAATACTCCAAACTTTTTCTTTTTTTATCTTAGTATGCTAAAAACATGACAGCACCATATGGTAAAGAATCACATTTCCCCAGGGACTTCTTGTATCAGTAAACCTATCTCACATTCCAAATTGTTCCAGAAAGCTCCTCACAACCTTAAAATTATGAAGAAGCAAGACTTTCAAGATGAATCAATGCGGATGAAGGGATGGTGAGAACCTGTGCTGTGCCCGTGAGCCTTATCACTGATGCCAACAAGTATGACTGCGAGGAAGCCCTTCTAAAATCTCAGTAACCAAAAAAAATAAAAATAAAAATAAAAAATAAAATAAAATCTCAGTAACCTCAGCTGCAGCGATACTGATGCCATTCAAACCGGAGGTGGACATTGGGCAATCAGCAAATTCGTGTGTATGTGAACTATCAAGTTTTGCCTATTCACCCAGACTACATATATCATTTCATTAACTTGGACTATCCCTTACTTTCTCGATTAGCCAGATTCACCAACTTTTGGTTCATATTTTCTTCTTTTGTCATATGCATGGAGATAACACTGACAGACTAATGACAATGTGCTACTGAAAAAAAACCATTCAGTCTTTCTGGTCCTTGAATAGTTCCCCCAGGTGGTGACATGATGGCATCCATAGCAGATTCTGCAGGTAAACCATTTTCATTGCATTTGACCTCACATGATTACTCTATGCCTGCATCTTCCTGCAGCTAAAGATCACCTTCACGTGCTTCCCTGTGAGTCTTCTGGAACCCACCTTCATGTGTAAAAGAAATTCCCAGCCTCAACATCCTTCTGGATTGTTCCCACCATCTTCTTGCTTTAGTTGAAGCCAGTACCTCCCCTTCATCCCCCTGCCACCGAG